AATTCGTTTCACTATCCATTTAGCAATACCTAGGAACAGGCAATGCATCAGATCAACAATCAAGAATCGAATTGGATCGAAATATGGCAGTCGAAATAATTCAGACCATCTGACGCTCGTTTCCTTTACATGATTTTTTCTTGATGTATCTGAACTGCAATGCCTTCATTCTAGAGCGTTCTGACAATGTTCAGTTGAATCTTGAGCAACGAACTAGGCGTTCATATCTTCTATACCTGCAAAATTATGTTTTTTGTTCTCGTAATTTGCGTGCTTCTTGCACCAATGGTATGAGACAAGTGCTGAAATATGGCCACATATCTTCCTCACAGCTAGAATATCACATGAAATTAATATTAATGTAGCCTGAATATCTCTTCCCTCTGAAAATTCAAAGGTACGATTTAAAGATATTCTGGCCCAGAATGTCTCTAATTCGTCAACAATCGGCGCAAGGTAATGATTTATCTTATGCAAATTAACTTCATGTGGTCCTGATAATAAACCGAGGATCAATATATTTTCGCGTCTAAATTGAATACTTCTTAGTAGATTGCATATTGCGGCATATATTATGCCAGTACTGTAGGTTATTCTCTCGTAAGGCTGAAACCAATCAAAGTTTATCATTAGCCCAAGGTGCGAATCTGCCACTTCAGGTCGAAAAAATTTGGGCAAATTTTCAGCTCTTGTTTCTTTTAATGTTTCCCATAATTGTCTGTCGTATATATCTGTCAATATATTATTGTTAAAAGTCATTCTACTCGTCTAATGCTGAAGTGACCTTTCAAAATCAGACCGGCGATATAAGACCGCCAATTGTTATCAGATTGGAGTAAACAGATGGATTAAATTTAGCCAATTTGTGATTTTTCCATTCACTAATCTTATTTGGGTAGATAATAGCGTTTTGCATAAACGCCTCTTACAAAGTGTTGAATTTGGATACTCAACATGTCGGCATTTCATAATTGCTAGAATGCCATTTTGGTGAAATTCGATTATGTCATTTTTTCGATATAATTTGTGACAATTTGAACATGATACGAAATGACAAAAATTATCTTGTAAACCAACAAGTGACTTCTTCATTAAATAAAGTGAATTAGGGAAAAAAATCAAAATCATTACCACTGATTTCTTTTAATACAAGTTTCATAAATTTTATGAGCGATTCTATGACAGTCTCTGACAAATTGAATCTTGTACAAAAGCTCATTATCCATATTAAGATCTATGAGAATTGATCATTATTTGTTGCTGTTTCTTGAAATGGGGTAAATGATGGATATGAATAGTCCTCAAACTTATCGGCTAGATTCTCATCATCTAGCGCTATATCATCATCTGACGAAATTTGACTTACATTTGCATCTGAATCCTCAAAAAGGTTATCATCATTAGATCTACCGATAATCGGAACACGATTTGTGTTTCTTGTGCGCTTTTGAGGTAAAATAAGCTCGATATTTACGTCAGGGATTTGCCAATTCTTATTTTGTTCATTTTCATTTTCTTGTTGCCCAGATGGCAGCCCAGTTGTATTATCTGATGGCTTTTGTGACAAATAATCCATTTCTTGGATTAAATCTTCTTGAGTATCGGATAGGGATAGGTTGCCTGGCATTGGATCTTTTTTGGCTACAAATTGTTCATGTCGTTGTTTTGTCTACCGATCAACTAACGCACCATTGCATCTGCTACAATTACATACAACTTTCATTCTTGATTTATTACTTTTTTTTCTTGAACTAGATTGTTTAATTGCACTAGGATTTGTTCTTTTTCTAGGCATTTTGAGCCGATTTTTTAATGTACTTTGTAGATAGATATATATATATATATTATTGAAAATGAGCTAAATTAAATCTGATTGCCTTATTAATAAATTGATCAAAATAAATCAATTAGTCAATCACATAATAAATTTGATTAAATTAAATCAAACTTATTTTTGATTATTTTTTTGCTATTTTTAATCGCTTAATTTTTCTTTTCTATTTTTCTTGAATTTTTCTTTGCATTATGAACTTTCGCGTGATTTTTGATATTAATAAACTACATTCTGCGCATTTTTTTTATTAACTTTCACCTTCGCCGTGATGATTTTTGGTGAACTTTATTAATTTTTTTTGCATGACAAATTTTTAACCTTTTGCATGATGATTTTTGGTGATTAATTAAATTTTCGCATGATGATTTTTGGAGAACATTATTAATTTTTTTTTCGCATTGCATGACAATTTTTAGTGATTAATTTTCTCGCATGATGATTTTTGGAGAACATTATTAATTTTTTTTTCGCATGACCTTTTGCATGACGATTTTTAGTGATTAATCTTCTCGCTAAGAATTTTTTATTAAATTTTCACATGATGATTTTTGGCGCATGAATTTTCATATGAACTTCAGACTATTACTGAACTTCTGCCTGTTACTGAATTTTAATTTTTTTTATAAAAGTAGCTTTTTCAGTTATTTCAAATTTATTTATTCTTACTTGTACTATTCTTACTTGTACTAATACAAAATGACTAAAAACCAAAATAGTAAAAATAGTAAAAATTCATCACGCCGCTCTTGAGCATCAACACCTCTGCCTGACAAAGGTGATCAACTTCAATCCTCTCATAACAGTAGAAGATCAGAAGCTCTCCGAAACCTTCTAGAAAGAGTACCTGGGCTTCGAGTACTAAATTATATAGATATAATTGATGATAATGAGAATAGAGAACCTGAAATACCCTCAAGCAGAAATGCACAAATCGATGCACCGATGACTCTGAAAGAAGTTAGTAAATCATAATTAAAATAAATTTCATATATATACGTTGCTTTTTTAGTTTTTTACTCAATTTTTTATCTAGA